TAATAAATATTTGGGTTTTAGTGATTTATTGTCATGAAGAACATGTCTCAATCCTTCCGTCTTGAAAAAAATAAAATGCATATTTTAACTTTTGCTCAGTTAAAAAAATAATATATATATATTAGGGTGACCTAAAAATGCATAAATTTTTTTTTTTAGATTTTGAACATGCTAAGGTTTCCTATCCATTATATGCCATATAAAGAGTCCCTCTCAAAAATATTTCCCTTTAAATGTGTTGGGAACAGCTACAAGTAAAAATTGAGTTTTAATTCCAAACATGAGTTTTGTTGAAAATGATATATTTTTAACTTGATTATGAAGAAAATTAAATTTGAAACTGTTTTTTGAAATTGTCTTTATTAAAAATAATAAACTGATTGAAAAAAAATCAATACAATTATTTTCTAACATCATTTATTTAACATGAGTTGAGACTGTGGCATTTTTTTTGAGACAAGCTTTCTATGCTCTCGGACAACCAACAATATATTCTGGCGTTGATCTTCATTATGGGATGTATCAACATATTCTCGGATAAGACCAATGTTTCTTTCTGCACAATCATTAGTGACACTTAACCCACATTCAAAAGTCTTTATAAGATGCAAGTTCCTCCAAGTCTCCCTCAGTCTGATACCACTCCCTGACAACACTAGTGGTGTCGGTAAGCCAACTTTCCTCTGTAGTTAAGTCTTCTAATTTAGTAGACTCTGAGATGGATACCCTCTCTGGAGCCTCTAAGCTTAAATCTTACTTGTTAGGTACAGGCAATGTTAGTAGCTTTCCTATGACAGACATTTAGGTAGACCTGTCGAGATCAAGATCAGCCAACGCCATAGTAACACACTTTGGAGAAAGATACCAAGTATGGTTTTGAAGGCTTTTTAATAAAGCACTACCAACATCATAATCCTAATCCTTTTAGATGATTGTAGCAGCTTTGTATGCCTCAAGGTCATTTATTACTGTATGTTTAGCTTTGCTGGATTTAAGAAATTTTAAGAAATGAATGAGCAAAGTACAAGGTAAAAATAAAGTTTTTTGTTTGTTGCCTTAGAAACTAAAGTCTTCTGATCATTACTCAGGAAGTTAATAATAGAAGACGTAATATCCAGACGCCCCAAGTAGATGCTGTAATATCCAGACGCCCCAAGTAGATGCTGTAATATCCAGACGCCCCAAGTAGATGCTGTAATATCCAGAAGCCCCAAGTAGATGCTGTCACACATAAATCTGGCATTATGGTTAGCACCTGGTTGGTACAAACTAAACTTTTCAATCATGGGTAAATTGATATTCATATAGAATACAAAGTATTTTACCAAGTGATTATAATCATTCCTAGGAAAAACATTATACTCAAGCGAATAAGCAATGAATTTCTTAGACTTGAGATATAAACTGTGAAGATCACTTCCAACAACCAGTTCACTTTCGGGAAACTTCTTGAATTTTTTCTCAGTTCCTGCTATAATAACAATAGGGTAATAACTATTCATCCAAGCGTGCTTTAAATCTTTATATATCTGTTTAGATGGTCCCACAGTTTGCTCTTTAAGAATCGCTTTGATGACCCATTTTATATGGATCTCTGCAATATGGTGCCGACACAAGAGCCAGAGAACTGATTGTCCCAAAACTCTGAATAAAGTTACAATTGCTCCTGATTTTTTTCCTGTGTTTATAACTGTTGTGTCAGTACACAAAGCAATAGTATATTCTGATATTTCGAAATATTCTACCAGATTCTGGAGTACAATAGCCATATTATTAGCTTTTCCATTGTCCACAGGATGCAACTCCAAGAAGTAAATCATTGTTTGACAAGAACTCAGGACTTGTAACTGATACTGCTAGTCTATCAATAAAAACTCTTTTATTCGATTCTTCTTCTATGTGCTTTACAATTTTTCCATCAAAGTGAAGCACTAATGATTTGTTCTTCATTGTTTCCATAAACTCATTACGGATTTCACAACCTTAACAGATTTTTATTTTAAAATTTAATAACTTTATCAATCAGCAATCTAAAACAGATTGTTATATTATTACAATCTAAAAGCTAAAATGTTGAAACAGTATAATTTGTTACCTTCAGAATGGATTAGTTTGTATCTGCCTCTTCTAATCGACTCTCTGCTTATCCTTAACTTTGTGATATCTCCTTCAAGATAATTTACAATGCTAGAGATAAATAGAGTTTGATCTCTTATACTGATACCAGCTCTCATACACGTTGGTGTGGTTGCTGCAATTAAACCCTCCTTAGTGATCTCTTTGTTTACTGATAAGGCTGAGGGACCAGATCTGTGTCTTGATTTAGGTCTATCAGGCTTATCAGCCAAAGTTGGTTTATTGCTTAAGGGTGACAATCTTCACTATCAGGGTACAGCTGGGGAGGACCTATCAAAGAAGTTTTTTAGAATGAAGAAATCAACATTTTTTATCTCTTGCATGACATGGTATTAAAAAGGATTGGGGAAGAAAGAGAAATGACTAGGAAATAATTAAAAGATACTAAAAAACATTATACCTAATACTGATTTTCTTTTACATTTTTTAAATCTACTTTTTAATCTACTTCACTTATATAATCTACTTAATTTATCTACTTCACTTATATAATAATAATCTACTTTTTATAATAATCTAAGCTCAATTTTTTTTAATAATAAGCTCAATTTTTTTTAAACAATATTTCAAATAAACCCTCTATTTGACTGCGAATTTGTAAAGCCAGCATGCGATGGTTTTTTACAAATTCTGCGAATTTGTAAAGCCAGTATGCGATGGTTTGCTGTTGCCTAGTTTTCTATTTCCGTTTAAAATAAATTTATATTTTTGGGAGCGCCAGTTAACCGGCTCTGGGAGAGCAGGGGGCAACTTCTGCCCCCCAAACCCGATGTTGAATCCGCCACTGAATATAATGTATTTAACAATTTTAAATAGCATACAATCGCTAACCATAATGAAAAAAAAATAAAAAATAAAATAGCGACATAAAACTACATGTGGTCTTATTTATGGAAAGCACAGGTGATTGTTTAAGAAGCAATTTTGCTTTTTCACCATGCACTATGCAATATAACAGCTTTAACCCACAATCAATATTCTTTGTTTAGCCTTGTTCATAGCATATCGTTAAAAACAAAGCAGATCTAAAAAGCAAAAGCTTCAAACCCTTGCTTTTTAGATCTGTTACTTTTGTAGCAACAAATATAATACTAAACACTAATACTAATAACGAACCTTGGCATGAACTTTCTATGTTCCCAGTATCTTCAAAGTAAAGGCCTTACTCATCCAGAAAAATAAATTAAAAAAAAAAAATTAGTATTTCAATTTAGATGTCAAGTTTAAAGTGAAACTTTCATCAAACTCAAATTTAACAAATTCGTTTTTTCTTTAATAATTCAAAAACTCATACAAATAACCAGTGTTTGAACAGCACTAAAACCAAAACTTGTATCCCAACTTAATAAAGTTTGTTCCTTAAGTATTGTTTTATGGAGTTACGTCTTTTGAACTTCTCCGTGTATTCATCACTATTTTTTCAGTCAGTATCAAAAACCGTCAAGATTCTGTTTCAAAATCAAACTTTTCAAAAGAATGAAGCATAACCAAATTCTGGGAGAACGCGAACCGTACAATTTCCTTGTACTATATTGTTTGTGATGTATTTGAAGAACTTGCGATTATGATTTCAAAATCAACATTCAGAAGAAATTTGGGTGACTTTCACAACTCTTTAAATTAATTCAAATTATTCCGTCAAAATACCGAAAACACCATCACAACACAATGAGATCATTCCATTCATTTTAGTTCTCTTTCAGCGAGGTACAAATAATTTTTATGGATAGAGGAACAAATAATTCTTATGGATAAAGTTGCATTAAATGTGCCACTACGATTTTCTAGAAGGCATTCTTGTAGGTGTTGGAATGTTGGATATAGCAGTTTTCTTTTCAATTCTTTCTCAAAACGTTTCTATTTTCTGTCCTATGAATCGGAGAAACAGGTGCTCAGAATATGATATTTATTATGGACAATGTTCTCTTTCATCGAATGTTAAACATTTAATATGTATTTTTTAAAAATTAAATTTAAATGTTGCAGTTTAACTTAATTCTATTGAAAACATATTTATCAAATGGATCTGTTTATAATATGAGAAAAGTTTAAAGTTTTATTTTAAAAATTAGAAGTCTTTTTTGCTATATAAATATATTTTTGCAATAAGATTAAAAATGAAGAATGTATAATGCTGAGGGATGAGTTTGAACTCTCGGAAACGATACTGATGAAAGCGCACTAAATTACTGAGCTATCAAAGATATACATTTAAGTTAAAAACAAACAGTTTTATAAATCTCTAATAAGCTTTACGTATACGGAAAAGATGCGCGTGTTATTTTTTTTGTTGTTGCTCTTGAAGCTATTGTTTTGAATGAATTAACGATCCTACCGTTTACTAAAAAATATTGAAGTAAGTATATAGAAATGGTCGGTGTGAAATAGATAAGTATAATTTTGGTGGCTTAGGTAAAGACCCGAAAACTTACAAAGACCCATATTTTTTAGTGTCCGGTCAGCTAATTTATAACTAATAAAGTAATTAAAGTTTATTAAAAAATATTGTCTAAAAAATCTATGAAATTTTTTGAAAAATGAATGACACGTTGTCATAATACAATGATACATTGTCAAATTGGGCTGTTTTGGCCCTGTTTATGTTAGGTACTGCATAAATGTATAGTGATACTTTTGAAAAAAAAATTATATTTTTTTGAAAGCTGTTTTGTAGCAAAAAAATAATGATAACATTTTTTAAATCCTTAATTGATTTTTTGTATGATATTATTTTTTAAACCCTTAAATAATTAATTGATTCAAAAGCGATATCAAATATTAATTAATCTATTTATAAATATCAAGAACTGTAACTAAAAGTAAATTAACTAAACGTAAAAGAACAAAAAAATAAAAGTAAAAAAAAAAAAAAATATTAATATCAAGTAAGTCTTCTATGTGGTTCTGTTCTGCTAGTTCGTTAACAGAATCTGCATAGAGGTAATCTAATATTGAATTAAAAAAAAATTTTAATTGTATTTTTTTAGGTTTAATTGTAAGAAAGTTTTATCGAAGATTTTATATAATTAGACGTATTCTGAACACTTGGGTGTGTCTTAAAATTATAAAACATTAAAGTTTTTGTTCCCATTTATTTTAGAGTGATGTTTACAAATATGAATCTAAACAATTTTTCAGCATTGATTTGTTTAAAAACGCTAAAATAAGTTCTCAGCATAAAGTTATTTACAAGCACTAAAATAAACTTTCAGCACGGAGTTGTTTAAAATTTTTTCTAACATTTTCGTTGTTGTTTCTTCGCATCTGAAATTCAAATCCTAATCCCAGACATACTAATAAAAACAAAATTCCGATTAGAAGTCGATATAAAGTACTTTTTCTAAACATTTCGGTTATTGAATCCACATACAAAGTCTGCGTATGGCATATTCTTCGAAAATGATCAATTGATTGGCTGTATACTTCATCCTTTTGATCATACATGCAGTTAAATGCATCTTTAGCTTGTTTTGACAAATTCGTAGAGATAAGGCAATTGATTTGTAAATGTGCTGGAACTATTTTAATGATGCGCAACGGAACATCTTGATTATCATCATTTATCTCCTTTTGAATCCAAGCAGCGCTGTCAACGTTTATGATGGCAGCAAAAACTGTTCCATTTCTTACCAATTCTAAAACTTCGAAATATGACTCTGCAGGTAGTACATGAGCATTGTACATTTCTTCAGCAGCTTTAAGCTCGTAAGAGTTTTCAAGCGCAGAAACTTTCTGATCAACTATATCTAGACCATCCAGCCCGTTGATAACTTGTGTAACTGTTGCGGTCATAAGGCAAGCAATAACTACTCCTATGAACAACCAAATGCAGGCTATTATTTTTCCGAAAATAGATCGAGGTACAATGTCTCCATATCCTACCGTAGTCATTGAAACAACACTCCACCAAAGTCCTGTTGCTGAACCCTTCACAAAGTATTTTGAAAACTCACTGTTGTAAGTGCGTTCAATAAACCAAATAATCATACCAAAAATTAACGCTAACATCATTGTTAAAACTAATATCTGGCGACAGGAATAAATGCCACGTAGCATTTTAGTAGGCAGTGATATCATGTAACGAGGTACAATAATGGCAAGACCTTCGGATTTCATTAATTGAAAGGAGCGTAAACCCCTACGTTGTAACTGATAATGCGATGTGTTAAAGGAATCATCAGGAAACCATATCGCTTTCTCTTTAGCAACTTCTAATAAATCATATTCGCCATATTGTATTTCAGATTGAAAAAGTGCTTGAAATTTTTTTCTTGAAGGAAAATATTTTTGATATAATATCAATTTAAACGTTTCATTACCACAATAGTTTTCTCCTTCTTGAAACATTTTTGGTATGATACCGTCAATTCTTCCATCAGATGTTTTAAATATAAAGGGTTTTTTCTCCCAATATACAGCATTTAGCAGAATATTCATAGACCAACAGTTATGTATTGATATTAAATATACTAAAAATATTTTATACAACAACATGATTTCTGTAACATCCAAAATGAACTCTAATATTTCTGGAAAATCGAGGACACTGATAATTCTGTTTTTACGATATTGACTTCATATATCTGAACTATTTACATTATTTCTTTTATGCTGAAATAAAAAAATCAATTTTAAAATTAAAATGCTTTACAGTAATTAAAGTTTATTATTAAAAAAACAAACATTTAAACCATTTAACAAAAACATTTCATTAATATATAAAAAAAAAAGTAATAACATAATTCGTTTATATAAAAACAAATAAATAATAATAAATGACAGCTTATGTGTGCTGATATACCTGTAGTCTATGTATATGAAACTGATATACCTGTAGCCTATGTATATGAAACTGATATACCTGTAGTCTATGTATATGAAGCTGATATACCTCTAGTCTATGTAAATGAAGCTTATATGTGCTGTAGTCTATGTATATGAAGTCTATGTATATATACCTGTAGTCTATGTATATGAAGTAATAATACCTGTAGTCTATAGTAGTAATACCTGTAGTCTATGTATATGAAGTAATAATCAAAATATTAAATTTTAAATGTCAAAAGATGACTATGCTGATCCAAATGACCGCTAGGACAATCAAAACGAATAATACCTCCTGTGTTCCCTATGTTCTCCACCTGTGTTTCCTATGTTCTCCAACTGTGTTTCATATTTTAAAAGCTTTAAACATATAATAATCGGTATCATCCAAAATTTTATTACAAAAACCATTCATGAATTAATTTGATTTTCATTTTAAATGCAACAATTTAAGAATAATAATAAATTCTCAAGGTGGCATCATAGCACAACAGCCATTGGTATACTGATTGGTATATGTTGATCTGCGCATAATTATGCCGCGTATGTGGCAGTGGAGAATTGTATAAGTACTTATTCATCATTGAAAATGAAATTTTCAAAGCAATTTCATTTTAAGAAAATGAAATTGCTGTTTTTTTAACTCATAAAAACTTTAGCATGATTTTGTTTTAATTTTAACATGATTTGTTTTAATTTTTAGACTGTTTGAAAATCTGCTACTGATAACAGGCTTTGCCCGTATACGACCGTATATCACCCCATGTGAAAAGTCTAAAGCGTATGTTTTGTACAACTTACTGATGCAAAAAAGAACATAAATAACTTTTTCTGGTTGCATTAGTTATCATTGGTTTGTGTAAAAAATTGAATAAAACATTGATCTTTAGTATAATGTTAATGTTACGTTGTTTAGAATCGATTTTAGAATCTCCACAAGCCCAATTTGCATAAAAAGTTATAATTCCTAAAAAATCTGCCTTGGATCTTATTGTTGAGCTTAGAAATCTTAGAAATATTTTATTAGCTGCTATATTTTGGCTAAAATACCAGTTGCAGATAAAGAGCATATTGAAATCGTTAAGAAAAAAGTTTTATCTTTAAAGTTAATTAAAAAAAGCACATTACTTTTCTAACTCATTATACAAAATAATACTAGATGATACTTAACTAAAGATACTTAACAAGATATTCAAACAACAATTACATTTAGCCTAAAAGTGTTTTTGCGGCTGAGTTTTTTTTTCTATTATTCGATTCAAATTAATTCAATTTAATATATTTTCGTCAACGAATAAATAATTTTACAATGGTTTTGTAAAAAAAAAAAATTCTTTAAATTCTGACTGGAGCAAACAGAAGACATCTTATTATCACCATTGAAAAGTAGTTTACTTTAATTACTAGTTTAAATTCATAAAATATATAAATAAAAAATTAGTTCTTACATATTCAAAAGTTTAACATTTTTGTTTTAAGTTTTTTTAATTTTCCACTAGAATAGCATTTATGTAAGATGTACTATACAGATAATTGATGAAGGAAACTTTTTAGAATGTAAATATATACAGCGCATTAAAAATGTGGGACACTAGTTTCACATAGTTGGTTAAAAAAAATTAAAGACAAACATTTTTAAAAATTATTTGATCAAATATTTAACAAGTTTAAACGATTAAAGACAACCACCTCATATCCTTCAATAAATGAAAAAAACCCACTAAACATTCGTGGAATTCACGTTAAACAATGCAATTCACTTTGCTTAACAACATCTTGTAATAAAGCATAAAATAATGATAAGCCTTTTTAAAAAAATCATTACTTTTTAATAAGGAAGATGCGTTAACTAAAAAAAAGATCTTTTGATGTTACAAAAAGTATTTATAACGGTACATGTATGTGAATTTTTTTGTAGTTGTTGTGGTTATTTAGGGGCTCCAAGAAGTCCTTACGGTCTTATCACAAAGCACTGCGAAAGAGCATTTAACAAGGAAGCCTCCTTCCTTACCAATGTTGCATATCAGCGAAATCTGACATCAAACTACGAACCTCTTAATTTTGAGCAAGAAATCTAACTACTAAGTTACAAACAAATTAATTAGTAACAAATTAATTAAAAAATAATAATCAAATTAATTTTCTGCTTTAAATATTTACAGCATTATAAAAATATAAAACGGCAGTGAGAGAAAATTAAAAAACATTTTGTTAAAGTTTTAATTGTAAAAATTTTCTTCTATCCATCCGATGCAATATCAAAACTGTTAACTCTTAATGTGACACTTGATATAAATAAAATTTAATTTTTTAGTATTATAAATGCATTAATAAACTGTATTAATACCCACTGTGATTCTAATCACCTGCATAGTCCCAGTAAAAAAAAACCGTGATTTGTATGGATTCCATGTAACTTCCGTGAAAGATTTATGGAATTCATGCGAGATATTCCCATTTGGTTACCTTATGAACATTTGTAATATCAAACCCATTTGTAATTCTGTATGGGTTACGCATAACATTCATGTGTTGCAAACCCATTAAGAAAATCTCATGAGGGTTACATGTTGGTTTTATTTAGATGAAAAATTCCTCATGGGTTAGTTTTTGGGATTTGTATTGGTTTTTATGTGAAGATCGGAAACTAAAAAATGTTTTGTTTTTAATTAATTTTAAATTTATTTTTATTACTAACACGGTTTTGGATAATTCGTATTGGAAATGGAGTTATTTAGGTGTTGTAAACAAGTTATTTTATTGCTATAAATATTATTAATATTAAAAATATTTATTATGATTATTAGTTTTTGATTGTTTAATATTAAATTAAAAAATACAACGATGTAAGTTCTCAGTGGGCATTTGTTTTTAAAAGTTACGTTCTAAATGTATCTAAATCAACGAATTAACTTTCAACTTTGTTTCAACTTCTGAAGAATTTGAATATGAAGTGTTTGTTAAATGGTCAGAAAAATCATTTTATTTATGTATGTACATATAAAATAAATTAGTGTCGTATTAATAACAAAGTTTTCTAATTTTGTTAATAAAATGTAACGATGTCAAAAGCAGTATTGAGATTAATAAATACACTTAATATATATTTATTTTCATCAAATTATTTAAAGATATTATGAACAAGATAAACTATTACCTGATCAATAAAGTGCTTCATTTAAAATCTAAATTGCTTATTATAAATAATATTGTTTACATATAAAAGGTAATACATACATAATGTGTTTTAATAATTTTAAGAAGGTAGTTTTATACATAATGTGTTCTCATAATTTTGAAAAACGCTTATTAAAGTAGCTTATTTTTAACTGGATGACTCTAGTGTCTCCAATTAAAGATAATTGGAGACACTAGAGTCATCCAGTAAAAAATAAGTATATGTATATGTATTAGTGTATATTATACAATACATCTAAAAAAAAGTAATGCTGTTATAAAAATGTATATATTATTACAACCTAATACATACCAGTGTATAAAATTTTCATTAGAATAAATTTTCATTAGAAGAACGATCACAATTGTATGCATGAAAATAACCCAGTTATATACTACTAACATATATATGTGTAAAGTTTTACAAAAGTTGAAGCTTATAAAGTCTATAAGAATATAGTATTTTAAGTTTACCAAGAATATATAAAGTTTATACCAGAGTTGTTAGTCCTTGGCTTTGGTCATGACCTGGTCTTAAGGCCAAAAATTAAAGCCCTAGCCTTGACTTTGACCTTGATACTATTGGCCTTGGCCTTGAAATTTTTGGCCTTGATTTTAATTGTTTTTGCTTTAGCCTTTATGATAAAATACATAAAATTAAAAAAATCAAAGTTTTCATTCTTTATTTTACATAGTTAATAACGTAACTAATCATTCTTTATCTTACGTAATTACTTTATCAACGTAAGGCAAACATTTAAGTCTTTGGCCTTAAAAATGTTTGCGTTGCGTTTGCCTTGAAAATCTTATTCTTGGCCTTGGTTATTTAATATGTGGTCATGGTCTTTGCCTTAGACTTGTAACATATGAACTTGGCCATGCAACTTAGACTTGTAACATATGACCTTGGCCATGCAACTTTTGGCCTTGTTAACAACTCTGATTTATACAAGACTAAAGTTTACAAGATTGTCTTTTTATATTATTATCATTTGTCAAAGTTGTGAAGCTGCTTTTAAGCTGCAAGTAGTTTTTAGCTTCTCCTCTTTTTTAACTTTTGTGATAAGTTTCTTTTGTTGGTTGGTTCGTTTTAGGGTTTTCTTTTCTTCTGACAAACGAATTTCATTCCTGATTGGAGTATCAGTTAAAATCCTTATTTTTAGTTGCCTACTTTTACCATTTTTTTTTAAACAGATGCTTTTGGGTAAAGTTCCAAAACTTCAGGTTAGAGTTATGAAGCAATGCTTAGTTTGAAGCACAACATACAGCATTGCATTTTAAGCGCAACATACAGTTACTGATGTTCCTCGTTTGGCAATTTTGATTCTTCCTACTTGTTTACTTCTTTTAACTGCTAACACTTTTACTGGTTTTTGTACCGTTGTTCCACCAGTTTCATCAACGTTATATATGCAATAAGGATCACATTTATATCAATTTCGTATTGCTTTTAGATTTTTTAAAAAAATTCTCCTACAGTGTGTGTACATTTTTGAAGGGCGCCCACGAGTGGTCAAAGATTGCGCGATCATTGTTCGAAACAAAAGACTTTTCATTTTGGTTCTGGTAATTTTATTGAATGAAATAAATGAGTTACATAATGCTCTTTCAATTAAACCAAAAAAGATCTGATGCCATCATTTTTTGGATATCCGTGATAACCCATATGAAAAAATCAACTGATCTGCCATGTCAACGCCACTCATAAATGTATTATAATCTTTTACTGAAACAGGGCAATTAAAATCTTTTATTTGTTTCTGTGTTCTTAAAACAGTTGCATGTTCTGTTCCATGAAAATTAGACAATATGGTCACAGATTTGTTATCTTTCCATTTGTAAAATACCAATCCTCCAGCAGAAAGCCGATGGTCAAAGTCACCTCTTTGAAGCATTTAATCACTTTTTAAGTTTTTTGGCAGTTTTAGTATTTCCTGTCTAAACGTATTGTTTCACACCAATACATTTTATGTTGTAATAGGTATTCCATTAATGGAACAGTGGTAAAATAGTTGTCAAAATAGACCTGATGATGTTTTCCGTGCAAAGACTTTGTTAGTTGGTACACGTCAGATGCACCTAATCCAAAATGCTTGGGAATTGAATCATCACAATGAATTTTGTTTTTACCTTGATAAACTTGGCAGTCATGCATATTGTCAGCAATGGCTCACAATTTAAAACCCCGTTTTATAGGTTTCATTGGATTATATTGTTTTAAACTGCTCCAACCTTTGAAGAAAATCATACTTTCATCTATGCTAACACGTTGAGATACATTGTATAGCTTTACAAAGTTTGAGTTTAGTTGAATAATCAATGGTCTTAGTTTGAACAATTTGTCTTTATTATTATTTGGTTCAGCAGCATTATTATTCATATGAATATTGCTTAGAATTTGAGCGAAACGATTTCTAGGAAGGGCACTTAAGCAAATAGTACTGACAAGTCAGGCTTGCAACTCCAATAATCCGTTCATGATGGTAATTCATGATAACCCATTATAATATTGATTCCTAAGAAGGAAAATTACATTTACAATGTAACATTTAGAACAGCCTTCATGCTTTGCGTTATAGATTGGTTTGATAAAGAATGGTTTGATAAAGTATGTTCTGTTGTATTTCATTGTCAAAATAAGAAAAAAAGTAATCGATTAATATATATATATATATATATATATATATATATATATATATATATATATATATATATATATATATATATATATATATATATATATATATATATATATATATATATATATATATATATATATATATATATATATATATATATATATATATATATATATTAATAATAAGTAATAGGATTTTGACAATCAGAAAAATGATCTTTGACCGGATCTCCGTAAGATGAAAATGGAGTTTCAATTTGGTTTTTAGTCTTTTTAGTCCATTTACGATCAATGATAATTTAGTCCATAATCAATGATTTTTTAGTCCATTTACAATTATTTACGATAATGTTCAACATTATAATCCTCTTGTTTAACGGTGATGTCTTCCATGCTACTTTCTGAATCGTTGGAGATTTCTGATTCATTTTCGACAGGTTCTATAAAATTTAAAGCAACTGGTATTTATCTTCAGAATCAGTTGACTCTATGCCCTCACTAAAATCACTAGGGATTTCCTCTATAAAGTAGCAAGCAGCTTCTTTAGGTGTAAATAACTTTTTATTTGACATTTTTTATTGAATTAATAAAAAAGCATGAAAGTAATATGATTACATTGTATTACAAATACAATGTAATCATAAAAAAACTAAAGAATAAAGGTTAATATTTTTTTGCCGATTTTGAGTCAGTAACATCTGACAGGACATATAAGTCCCACAACAAAATTAAAAAAAAAAATAACATAAAAATGCAATTAAAACTCATCAAAACAACATAAGTATTTATTTACTATAAGAAACATCAACCAAAAAAATTCCTAATGCACAAACATAATAAAAGTTATATTACTTACAAGTCAAGATATACTACTTTTAAGTCAAGAAAAAAATTTATTAGAACTGTAAGCTTTAGTAGACATATTGTATACAAAAATATGTGCTTTTGAGCAATGACTTTAATGATATTTTTTTTATATATCAAAATATTGGAAGGTTTATTTTTTAATTTTTATAAATAAATATCAATGATTTACATTCTTACTGAAAAATATAGCCACTAACTTCCAGCGGGACTAATAAGTCCCGTCGGTAAACAAAGGGTTAAAAATCTAAAAATTAAAAAAAAAAAGTTTAAAATAAAATATTTGTTTTTAAAAAGTATTTTACATACTAATATTGTGTAAACTAATTGTAAACATATGTAAAACTAAAAACAAATATTATTAATATTAGTTTTTAACAATATTTCATTTTAAAAATGAAATTTTAAAAATTATATAAAAATTTTTTATTTGTCATAAGTACATGCCATAATTAAAAACTTATAATTTATAAGTTATAAATTATGTTATAATTTATAACTAAAAATATATATAGCGCCAATACAGTTTTGCGCCATATCGGAATTAACTAACTTCAATTACAGATCCTGAAAGATCGCTGTTTAAAACAAAAGAATACAGAATTCAAGTTTCAACAAGTTATTTATTAAAACAAAGTATTCAATAACAAGTTTCATCAAAGTAAAGAGCTTTAATTCAATATTTAAGATTTGAAAATTACACAATAAGCGCTAATTTCGCTAACACAAAAGACTTTGTTAACGACGTTTAACAACCTGGTTTTTATTGTTGTTGCGCTAATTAACTGTTGTCAAGACATTAGTTATAAATCAATAACTTTATTTTTAATAAATAAATCTTAAAGTAGCATTTCATTATAAAAGTAAAAGTAAAAAAAATAAATTTATGTTGGCTCTTACTTTTTAAAAGCATTCTAATTTTTATATTCTAAATTTTACAATTTAATATGAACTAGCAGTAAGCAACCCGTAATACGGGTTAGTAATGAATAAATGACATTCTAACTTAATATATTATCTGAAAAATATAAAATACAAATTTAACTATAGTTAGGGCTGAGATTATCCCAGTTTTTCTGCTGAAAAACGCTATAAAAGTTTTAATTAGCTTAATGTTGTGCTCTCCTCCGTAAAAATCGGGACAATGGCAGCCCTACCTATATAATATATCCGTTAGGTTTTGCTCGCTTTTATTGATCTTGGGATTTAGTAAAGACCATAAATTGAGATATAATGTTCTTTTAATAACAGCAAGCACCAGAGAAAGGAAAGTCAAGTAGAACTTATCATAACCTAAAAAAAAAAGATCATTTTAAATTACAAAAGCATTATTTTACATATTTATTGAAGCGTTTTAGAATATGTTTTTTTTTTTTTTTTTGTTATTCACCTCCTCAAGGCTGAGAAGGCCACTTCAGACGAGGAGGCTACTTAATAGTGGTTATAACCTTCTTTCAACTCTATGACTCCGAAACACAAACCTTGACGAACAAGGCCGCTGCGCGGAGAAACAAGTTGAGGTACTACCAGGGACGTGGTGGGGATCGAATTCGGAACCTCTCGCTTGAAGCGAGAGGTTCCGAATTCGATCCGTTATATAGTTCCGAATATATATATATATATATATATATATATATATATATATATATATATATATATATATATATATATATATATATATATATATATATATATATATATATATATATATTCATTTTAGAATAATGATAATCAGTTGTAGGAAAATTCAATAAAATTTGATTCCTAAAAAAATGTAGTGACTAATATTAAAACGAAAATATAACAAACTTGATAACAGTCTAATAAATTACAGTCATAAAAACAAAATAAAAAAATATAAATATTCGCACTTATCTTATTGAACCAATAAATATAAATATTATTAATTTAAAAAAAAGAAAGATGATGGGTAGCTCAACAAATTCTAGTGTTTATATTTTGATACTTATTATAGTAAGATTTATACTGAGTCCTGAGAAAAAATAATTAACAGATATTAAGACCACCCAGCACTATTTAGCACTAAGTAATACCACATTTTAGTAACATCTTATCACTGGCAAGGAAAACAATCTTTATACACTGCTAAGTAATGCTGGTTCATGAACATTAAAGAAAAAAAAAATACAAACATATGTAAACTTTGAACATATTATATTTTATACTATTATATATTATATTATATTTTATATATTTTATATTATACTATCAGGAAAAAATAATAAAAAGATTTGGTTTACCAGTTCTTTTAATACTTTAACATTTTAATTTTTCATAGTTTTTTAAGGCTTCCTAAGTAAATAGAAAACTATAATGCACCCTGGTCTAATATTATAATTGTTACCAAGTTTGCTCAAATCTTTTAGTAAAGCATCATTTGCAAGCTTCTCAGTTTGCTTTGGTTATTTCTATGAAAGCAAGACACTGCTTTTCAATTTTAACATATGCATCAGCAGCATATTACTGAATTGAAAAAAATTCTTGCCAAAATTATTGAACAGAAGTTTTGGCTTACTGAAGGATCATAATTATAAAACTGAGATAATTTAACATAATTTCTAACCAATGTTGCATGTTAAGGTTTGATTTCTAACCAATGTTGCATGTTAAGGTTTGTGCACCAATTATGCCATCTTATGGCAAAAATAAAAGAACAAACCATAGGATCTAAGTTAGCTGACATACTCAATATAACTTCGAAATTACCTTTTAAGTAAATAACTTTCCTGGAAGCAGGTGGATCACCATCTTCTCCAACAAATACAACTGCAACTTTACTAACTATAGTTTGTAAATAAAACATTAAATTATGTAGGCAAAGTTGATTGCTATGTTATTGTTTTCTAAAATTTACTGCTGCAAGTGGGTAAGAGATATACAGTTGATGATGTTAGTGGGAATATCTTGATTTGGCCTAAGATTACTTACACAATAGAAAAATTTTACCAAATGTTTCAAAACATGGCAGCCTATGGTTCATAGGTTAAACCACACTACCAGTAAATAAAGCAAAATATAAAAAGACATAAACTTTAATATATTAAAAAAAAGTTGATATTGAAATTATGATATATTTAAGTAAATGAAAATCTTGAAAAGCTTGCGGAAATAGTGAAAATAAGCAAAACCATTATGGCAACATAAAAAAGGTGTTTCATCAAATCTTCCTAATCATGATAGTCTAATTTAAGAATTAATTAATTTTCTGCCGAATCATGATGTTCTAATTTAAGTATTAATTAATCTTCTTGCCAAGCAGCATTTTTTAATTGACGTCTAAATGCATTTTTTGCATTTAGACGACACTTAATTTCAAAGCTAGCTGGCCTAGTTTTAATCATTTCAGTATAAATTATTTTTAAGTTGATAGTACTATTCTAATAACTTATTTAAGCCTAATATCATCCATTTTAATTTCACTATTATAAATAAACATATTAACAGAAGTATTACTACTGTGGTAGCAAATAAACGCAAAAGAATCTTAAAAATGATGATCTTTTCTATAAAATTTATTTACTATTACTTCAAGTTAACATTAGAATAAAATAAACAACTTCGATAAATTGGTAATAAAACAAAAGCATCTATAAAACAATTTTATTTAACTATTTAAAACTATTTTAAAAAAAATAAATAAATAAAAATCATTTGTTTAAAGCAATATATATATATATATATATATATATATATATATATATCAAATGCAATTACTTTATATAGATATAAACGTATATATAATATACTAAATAAAAAACAATACAAACTTAATATGAAAAGAACTTGAATTTTATTTGATATATAAAGCATCATTTATTAGCATCAATTATTTTTATATTACTGCATTACAGTAGTAATGCAGACTACAATGCACAACATTGTTAATAAAAATGAAGTTATGTCAGTATATATTTATCTAAAGTAATGAAAACAATGAAACCATTTAGGAACAAAGTTAAAAATTTCTAATAAATACAGCTGCGAAAAATAAAACAGTACCACCACCAAAAATTGGTTGAAATTAGAATTTTTAACTATTTTTGATAGTTTGAAAATCTTTTAAATACATATTTAAAAGTAAAATGGCTTTTAATTTTTATAAAAAACAAAGTATACTAGTTTTAATATATATTATTCATTTATTAAACAAAAATTCAAAAAAAAAATCAAATAAAACTCAAAAAAAATAATACCACAGCTTTAATATGTACTTTAAAATAACAAAATATTATGAGATCAATTGTTTTAAACATTTTACAATAAATATTAGTAATTTCTTAACACATTAGTATTTTTTAGCGTGACCTTTATTGGCGATGACGGCTACAAAAAGTATGGCATCGAGTTAACCAAGTCCTCACATCGCTTTAGCGGAATTTCGCACCATGTCTCCTTAATAGTCTGTATACGCAAAATAGTCTGTATACGCAACATCACTTTATCCAATACATCAACATAAACATATTGATCCATAATAGTTTTAATGTGATGAATGGGCCCTGCTCCGTAATAAGAAAAGCATGCCCATATCATTATACTATAACCTCCATGTTAAATAGTTTTGATGGTATATTTTGGATTGTATTCTGCATTCGGCGGTATTCTGACATACGCCCGAGAGCTTTTTCCACCATAAAGCACAATCTTACTTTCGTCTGTCCATAAAATATTCCTCCATTTTTCGAGAGGCCAATTTGAGTGTTTTTTAGCAAACGCAATACGCTTTACTATTTTAAAAGGTTCCTTTTTAGATAGTCGGACTAAGCGATTGGCCAGCAATGTTGAAATAGAACGTTTTCGACCACGTGTTTCAGGCTTTTCTTAAAATTTTATGGCATTTCTTATCATTTTATAGGAACACTCAACTAAACGACTAACTTCTCTATAAGATTTCCCTGCTGATATCAACTTTCGGATCAGTACTCATTTTTCTGCACTACAATGCTTTCCGCGTCCTATTTTTATATGAAAATGTCTCCTACTAATACGCACTAACATAAAACGAACGAAACAGTAAAAACCCAACGCTTGCTATTTTCATAATTATTTTTATCATTTTCAGAGTATTTTACAACAAAAGAGTGTGTGATGCTATTTTATTTTTCGGTAAGAATTGGCATTTTTGATTATAATCGAGCAACACCAAGCAGTTTTTTTTCCAAAAATGATTTGTTTTAGAAAATAAACATGTTAGCTAAAATTTTAAACAGCAAAGCTATAAAAAAAAATTTTATTTTGCATGGTATTTTTTTAACAAAAAGGAAAATACGCTTAGTGGTGCTATTTTATTTTTCGCAACTGTATATATTCAGGTACCTTTAAATGAAGTATAATACAGCATTCTTTTAACAACTTCCAGAAGAGTTTTTTTTTTTTAATTATTTCATTTCTTATTATTTTTTCTAAAAGAAAATATGCATATAGATATAGAGAAATATCCTAAAATAAACGCAAATTTATGTAATTAAACTTACATATCCACAAATAACAGTCTTATATTATGTAACTTTTCATGTTAAATACATAAAAAAAAGATTTATAATATTTAAGAATTAATTCTACATTACTCTTCTTTCTCATTCTACATTCTCATTAGTTCTACAAACAATAATCTTAATCTATAAATAATATGAATTGTACTTACTAAAAAAGCCTTCAGCTCCTTCAAACTGCTCTAAAAAATAAGATGTGGTCAAACAATCTATATTTTCTAACCTTAACTAGACGTTGTTATGAGCGTTACAGTGGTAAGAAAAATTACCCTTCTAAAATAAATCTCATTTATCAGGTCAAATTTTTTTTTCTCATATGAAGATCTATATGTTATTCTACAACAGTTACTGTTTAAAATAATGTGACTTTTGAAAAATTGATTTTTTTCTACCTCCTTAATTTAAGTATTTTAGTAACCTGCAAGATAAATTTTGCCAGTTGAATCCTGTGGTTCTGAACTGTTCAAAATAGTGCAACTTTTTTATTGCATTCTAAGTCAAGGATCTGGTTGATAGATAAAAGAAAGAAACAGTTTATCAGTAGAGTCTATTATAAATAAGCTCTATTATAATAGACTCTTTTTCAAAAAGTCTTTGTTTGATATAACAGATACACATAGAACTCATGACAGAAAAATATTTTATCTATATAAATATAAAATAAAATTTCAAATCATATTTCTGTCATGAGTTCTATGTGTGTCTGTTATATCAAACAAAAACTTTTTGAAAAAGATAAAATCAATAAAAAAAAGTATAGCTGCCCTTTCAAAAAAAACCTAGTAAACTTCCAGTGAAAAAATGTTCCAAAAACCAGCGAACTTCCAATGAACTTGTTCAAAAACTCAGGAAACTTTTTAAGTGAACTTCCAGTGATTTTTTCTAGCAAACTTTCATGTTTATATATAAAAAATTGGAAGTTTAGCATATTCCCTGAAACTTTATTTTTTAGAATGTAGTTATATATTTTTAAAACGTTCATAAGCATTTGAAATATCTATATCCAATAAATGCGAAATAAGACTAATTAAGCATTAAAAAAAAAAAAAAAATGTTCAATATAACATTTATTTAAAAATATAGAGATTTACAATGTAAGATTTATCTTAAATTTAACATTGTATAATATACATTGTATTTATAAATACATATACAGTGTATGTATTTATAAATTACATTATGTAAGTCTTTATTACATTATATAAGTCGACGAGTGTGTGTAATCATACCTAGGATAATCTTGTAATAAGAAAATAAAAAGTGAATTCACTAGATAAATGTTTTTTTTTTATTAACCTTGGCTCAGATTTCGTTAAAAATAAGTTTATTTAAGCATATTGTTGATCTTTATTATATATAACAGGCGCAAATATAGGGTATAGCTGTTGTGGCTAAGGTTATACCTTAAAATAATCAACGAATAAATACAATATAGTGTTCAAACTTCTTTAAATTAAAAATAATTATTATCAGTTTATTTTTCAAATGCCGTGTAAAACAAGCTTCAAAAACAGGCTTCCTCAAAACTGAAAAAAAAAACGAATTAAGAAAAGAGATCGGTCATTCACCGTATAAAAGAACTCTGTAACTAACACACAACGACCAGATTTTTTGGCATAGGCCGCAGCCTGTGCCAAAAATTTCAGCACTGACTAAATTACTATTTTTTTAATATATTTTTTTGCAGAGTCGTAGGCCGTTTACACTCAACCCATGGCTAGATTACTATTGCCATGTGGCTGTACCACTGATCTCAAAATATAACTGGATATGGCAAATTTTTTGAAGCCAGTTTTGGTCTCCCAAGATGGTGGCGCATTTGGTTGATTACAAATTTAGAAATATTTGTTACAAACTTGTATATTTTTTATATATAAAAATAAATGTACAAGCCTCAAACAAAAATGCAATTTTTGGTTTTACATAGCAATTGTTTTAAAAAAAAACAGAATAATACATATTTACTTAAATTTCTAAAATATATATAATATTTTGTTTAACAATCTACTCAAACAATATTACTGACAAATATACTAATACATATATCACAATATATATTACTAATAAATATTATACTCAAACAATATATATATATTTCAATAAATATTATATTCTTTACAATTTACTCAAACAATAAGTTTGTGTAACATCTTTCTTTTTTTTCTTTTTCTTTTTTTTTTAATTTAATTAAATAAGATAAAATTTTTTAGTTAAATTAATTAAAAATAAGTTATTTAACATTAGTAAAGAATTATACCTATAATCTAGTAGTTAACTACTGCGTTCCACTAATATTTCACAACTAGTTATAACCTATCAGTAGAAATAAAAAAACAAATCTGAACCCAGTAGTTATTCAATTTACAAATTTCCAAGCAACTTTCTAATAATTATTTTAATTGTGAAATAATTTTAATCATTTTTTATTTATATTTCATTTATTTACTTTCTTTTAATTTTAGTTTTACAATAAATTAATTGTTTGTTATTGTTTTTTGTACAAATTTATGTACCTTTTAGTTCTTAACTACCATGCTGTGTGCTAGAAGGTTAATTACACAATTGCTTGGCAGGCAGCTGAGTATCTTTTTAAAATAAATTATTATAAATTAGTTTTTTAAACAGATATCACAAATTTACAAATGTTGCATAAAACTATTAGCTGAGCTCTGTGGGTACACACAACTCAGGGGTCCCTTCTAGAATTTTTTTTATATATAATTATACGTATTTTATTTTTTATTTGGTTGTACTTCACTAAAATCACTAAACATATGTATATATATATATATATAGAGAGAGAGAGAGAGATGATTGCTGCTTACCATGCTGTTATTTTATTAAACTTCTAGCATACAGCATTGGGTAACTAAGAACTAAAAGGTACATAAATTATATACAAAATTTAGCTAAAATTGTAAATGCCATTTAATAATAAGATAAATTATTCAAAAAATAATTCCTTTTTTTTTCTCTAATGTTTATAAAATTAATTTTTTTTTTATTTTTGACAAATTTATTAGCCTTATTTAATTATTTCTATCGTAGTTTGATAAAACCAAATAAAATCAATATTTCACCGCTAGGAACTTAATTCACCGCTATGCTTCAATTTTTTTCGGAAAAAACAATAGAATCCGCTATCCAGTTATATTTTGAGATCAGTGGGCTGTACCAATGATATATTATACAACTAGATGTCTAACTTCATTACGAAAAGTGAGGTCGCTTTTTGCCCTTTTTACAAATGGCGGATTAAATTTGTAAACAAATATTTTTAACTTTTTTTTTTCTTAAATGAAGTAAATATATTTTAAGTTTAAATACATAAAAGTCTTAAGTGGAAATTATAATACTTGTAAAATAACAGTTTATGATTCCTTAATTTATTTTTGATTAAAAAGGGATTAAAGTTTTGAATAGAAAAGTAAAACGACAGACATTTTTACGAATTAAAATACTTTTTAAAAAACATAGGCTCGTAAATAAACTTTTTTAAGTATTTTATAATTACTAAAATTTGTTTTTGAATTATCTTTAATCTATTGGTAACTTTTGACTTGATTTTTAACTTTTATTCCACACTTTGGCTTCAGTTTTGCCCTTTTTACAAATGACGGACTAATGTTATAAACAAAAAAAAGCGGCTTCACTAGTTATATAATATATCATTGGGCTGTACTTATTTCCCTGTCTTTTTTTGTCGAGTTATATAATACATCTAAATAACCCAAGTGTCTTGTTTTCTCAGTAAGTTATTACGGTGGATATTCTTTAGAAGAATACTTTTCCACGCAACGCCGACGATACGGGTTTTGTGGGGGTGCACAATCGTCAACTTGTGAAAAAACTCCATTATATCTTAAAAAAAATTTCTTTAAAAAATCTTTACTTAAATAAAAAAAAAAAAAAAAAGTCTTCTAAAAAAAGTGAGGGAGGGATGGCACGTGGTCCCCTCCGTTGTCGTCGGCCCTGCTACATGCTGTTGATCTTTCTCACATTAAAAACATAAAATGTTGCGAAAACTTTTTTTTACATAACCAAATGGTTTAAATATCTCACCAGTTTTATTTATTGATAAGCTTTTGACTAAAATATGCCCAGACATGAATGTATTGACGCTACTCAACTTTCTACCCCCCCCCCCCCTCCCCTGTTTTTATGATTGATTTTTATAGAGTACATTAGACTGATTCTAATTCATATAAAAACATAGGTCTGAAAACTTGAGGAAAGTACTCTAATTTGATGTTAAAGTATAAAAATTCACATTAAAAGCGCTAATATTAGCGTTTGTAAATTGCCTTGGCCTTGAAATGCACACAAAAAGTAAAAACAGGGACAAGATGGCAGCTGTTAGTACTCTGATACTTTACAGTTGTTGAATGAATGAGCCTCTCTGACAGCTATCATAGAGTTCGGGAAACCTGACTAATAGCCGGCCTTAGAACCATTAAACTGAGTTTTAGAGCTGTACTCTCATTAGGAAAGATTAAAATTAAGGAGCCTTGGAATTCTTGGAAGCCTTCTACAAGACATTACTTGGATGCATTTAACATTTGCCCACTATAAGTATTTTTATCGACACACCAACTCTAACCTCTATTACCATCTCTAGTCTTTATCTAACCAAGAGCCCCGAGACAGGTGTGTTTAAAGAAATTAAAGTTTATCAAAAAATATTGTATAAAAATCAATAAAACTTTTTCAATAATGTTTTTAAAGATTTTATATAATTAAACATATTCTGAACACTTAGGTGTATCATTGGGTGTATCAATTGAACACTTGTGTGTATCCTCGGGTGTATCAATTGAACACTTGGGTGAATCCTAAAGTTTTACAAAAATAAAATTTCTGTTCACATTTATTTTAGATTGATGTTCGCAAACATAAATCTAAAATAAATTTTACGTATATAGTTTTTACTCATACAATAATAAGTTTTTAGCATAGAGTTGTTTACAAACACTAAAATAAACTTTCAGCACGGAGTTGTTTAAAACTTTTACCATCATTTTTGTTGTTGTTTCTTCGCATCTGAAATTCAAATCCTAATCCCAGACATACAATTACAAACAAAAAGCCGATCAGAAGCTGATATAAAGCACTTTTTCTAAACATTTCGGTTATTGAATCCACATACAAAGTCTGCGTATGGCATATTCTTCGAAAATGATCAATTGATTGGCTGTATACTTCATCCTTTTGATCATACATGCAGTTAAATGCATCTTTAGCTTGTTTTGACAAATTCGTAGAGATAAGGCAATTGATTTGTAAATGTGCTGGGACTATATTGATAATACGCAATGGAACATCTTGATTATCATCATTTATCTCCTTTTGAATCCAAGCAGCGCTGTCAACGTTTATGATGGCAGCAAAAACTGTTCCATTTCTTACTAATTCTAAAACTTCGAAATATGACTCTGCAGGTAGTACATGAGCATTGTACATTTCTTCAGCAGCTTTAAGCTCGTAAGAGTTTTCAAGCGCAGAAACTTTCTGATCAACTATATCTAGACCATCCAGCCCGTTGATAACTTGTGTAACTGTTGCGGTCATTAGGCAAGCAATAACTACTCCTATGAACAACCAAATGCAGGCTATTATTTTTCCGAAAATAGATCGAGGTACAATGTCTCCATATCCTACCGTAGTCATTGAAACAACACTCCACCAAAGTCCTGTTGCTGAACCCTTCACAAAGTATTTTGAAAACTCACTGTTGTAAGTGCGTTCAATAAACCAAATAATCATACCAAAAATTAACGCTAACATCATTGTTAAAACTAATATCTGGCGACAGGAATAAATGCCACGTAGCATTTTAATAGGCAGTGATATCATGTAACGAGGTACAATAATAGCAAGACTATCGGATTTCATTAATTGAAAGGAGCGTAAACCCCTACGTTGTAACTGATAATGCGATGTGTTAAAGGAATCATCAGGAAACCAAATCGCTTTCTCTTTAGCAACTTCTAATAAATCATATTCACCATATTGTATTTCAGATTGAAGAAGTTCTTGAAATTTTTTTCTTGAAGGAACATGCTTTTGATATAATATCAATTTAAACGTTTCATTACCACAATAGTTTTCTCCTTCTTGAAACATTTTTGGTATGATACCATCAATTCTTCCATCAGATGTTTTAAATATAAAGGGTTTTTTCTCCCAATATACAGCATTTAGCAGAAAATTCATAGACCAACAGTTATGTATTGATATTAAATATACTAAAAATATTTTATACAACAACATGATTTCTGTAACATCCAAAATGAAGTCTAATATTTCTGGAAAATCGAGGACACTGATAATTCTGTTTTTACGATATTGACTTCATATATCTGAACTATTTACATTATTTCTTTTATGCTGAAATAAAAAAATCAATTTTTAAAACTAAAATTCGAAATCTACTCAAAACGTCATTCTTAAAAATACATTATTTTAATTGATATAAATTTTTTAATTTTATTATAAAACTATTTACCAAGTAAAACAATAAAAATTGACAAAGGTTGTGCTCAAGAAAAAATCAGTCTGTACCATCATTTTAAAAACCGCGGTAATTCAATATTGGTCTTTTAATGATCATTTAGATGGTCAGCGGAGCCTCCAAGAAAATAAAATAATTAGTGGATTTAAAATATATGATAATTATATGATAGTTATTCATTAATGTCGTAAAGTTTATGATATTATATGATGATTATTCATTAATGTCGTAGCTTAATTACTCAAGTAAGTATAGTTATTAGGTTATTTATATTCAATAGGTAACTTTTTAAACATAATAATAGCTTACTAATTGAAATCAAATCAGTGAAGAATTTTTTCATTATTCTCAAACCAAACTTTTATATAAGTAAAAATTATTGCGTGTACAATAATTGAGATTTAAAGAAGGCTTCATAGATCTTGGGTCAATATGCATTTTGAAATAATATGATGTGTCGCACTGTGCATCAAGAATACAACATTTACTTTGACAGTGACAGCGGAATAACGCCAAACGGAATTAAGATTTTATTAAGCTTTTAAAGAATTTATAGTTTTTTTTATTTATGACATTTTAAAGCATTAAGTTTGCTTAGATTTTTAAATAATTTATATTTTTACGGGTTGTTTGAAGATTTTTTTATAAAATCATGTTTGTTTGTTTTTCCTTTTTTTATCCCCTAAAGATGATTAGAATAAATTCTGCATTATTAAAATACTTATGCAATCAAATATTAAATTTTATATAAAACATGTTTAAAAAATATATAAATAAAAAAATAGATCGTCTAATAAAAACTTTTCTTGTCAATAATTTCAAAAACGAAAGTTAAAAATAAAACGAAAAAAAAAGAGATTAAGAGCGCAATAAATTTCTATGTGAAAACAATTTTTTAAATTTAAAACCAAATTATTTTCTCTGCATGATTTAGTTTTAATGTTTTGTAATCAAACGTCAGATAATTTTTAGGACCTTAAATATTTTAAGTTTTTTTTTTTTTGTTAGTAATAACAAGGCACACCGAGTTTGTTGATATCAACAAAATGGAGTAAAGTTCACCCAGTGGGAAAAAATACGTCGAAAAGACGTCTTTAAAAGTCTAATTTACGATGTCGTTAAGACGTCTTTTTTTAAACAATTATGCAAGACTAAAAAACATCATTTCTCGACATCGAAAATACGTCTTTTTCATTCTTATCTTTTCATGAAAAGACATAAAAAATGCGTCTTTAAGACGTCTTTGTTTATCAATTATGCACTTCTAAAGAAGTGTTTTTTCTCGGGGTCGGAACGATTTTTTTTCATACTTTTTAGTATACTATAGTATCCTATACACTATAGTATTCCTAGTTTTCATATATGAAAAGCTGTTTTCATCAAATAAAAATGATTATAGCTCTTCATACAAAGTATAACAAAAAGTTCTTTCCGATGCCGAGAAAAAAACCTCTTTTAAATGTCAATATAAAAGAGGAAGCATTTTCTACATCTTTTATATGTTTAAATATGGGAGAATAATTTATAAATAAAACAACAGTATTGTTCAACAGATTACTTTTTCATCTTTCTTTTTCTTTTCTGTTTCTTGAGCGAGCTCTGTTTCTTAGCGTTGCTGAATAAAATTAACTATTTCACGTCAAGAAATCCTTTCATACAAGCTGGTTACGACTTCTAAAAAACGAGTGAACATAAAAAAACAATCTATTGCTTGAATATAATACAAAAAACCAAACGAAACTTGATTAACTGAAATAAACACATTAGACTTACCGACTATTAATTCAAAAAGGGCTAATCCTTTTAACCCCTTCATGTTTCCAGCGCGGTCCTTTCT